ACAGTGAGCGCAAGCTAGATTCAAGTGATTATTACGTTTTGAATATGGATATTTTTCTTACAAAACCGCATCGATTCGTTACAGGAGGCCTTTGTTCACCCCCTGGAGCCGTGCGAGACACTTTTTTATTTAATGGAGGGGCACTTTTTATTTCACTTATTTTGGACTGAAGTACTGCAACATCCGCTGAGTGCCATTAAACAGCTTGAAAGATTAAAGAACATTTTTAATATAACTCTGACTGGATTCGTCTGAAAGAAGAAAGTCATATACACCTAGGATGCCTTGAGGGTGAGTAATTTATGGCCTAATTTTCCTTTTTGGGTGAACTAACCTTTTAATAACAATTTGGCACAGTCAGCATTGGCTAATCAGAGTGTAAGCCAACTTGTCCCACATTTAACATGGCAAATATGCCCCATATATTATAAAACAGATGAGGACCACTTCTGGTTGTAACGCTTGCCACAGCATTGGCTAGTCAGTGTGTAAGCCAACTTGTCCCACATTTGACATGGCAAATATGCCCCATATATTATAAAACAGATGAGGACTATTTCTGGTTGTAACACTTGACAAGTGAGGCCACTTCTTGGATGTAACACTTGACACTGGCTAATTGAAATGGAAACTTGAAATTGTAAATATGGCCTAATAGAATTTGGCTACTTTTAGTAGGATGCAACACCGTTAACTGATGCAGGATGATCTGGATGTGAGTCTTAAGAAGGCTACATACGCAGCAGTTTATTTTTTGAAACATGCTTTTAATGGCAGTTTTTTATATATACAGGTGCATCTCAATAAATTAGAATGTCGTGGAAAAGTTCAGTGTGTGCAGCATAAAAACAGAAGTGCACTATAATGATTGTACTCTTATGGTCACGGTTTCTGTTAATTTGGACTTTGTTTTCCTTTTGCACCATTCCCCTTGTTGTGTTGATTGTATTATTCTGTTCAGGGGCCCGTTCTTTGTACCTCGCTTAATACATCGGAGATGATTTGAAACATGCCAGATCCTCTAATCGTGATAACTGATCTCTGGCTAATTTGGTTCTTCAAAAAATGTGCGGATTTGATTGAAATATCTGGATTAAGCCGTCTAAGATTCCTGCTCGTTCTCGTGTTCCCGTAAAGGGCAGATGTATTGATACTTAAAACCATGCTCAGCAATGCAGCGATAGGCTGGCGGCAAGACAGCAGTGTAATGACATCTTATAAAGGTCCAGAAATTCAAGGTTAAGTTTTTTGTCAGGTGTCTTTTTTTTAATTATAAGGAAACAGCCAAGTTAACAAAACTTTTTTTTTTTTTAATGATTCACGATTTCTAGTATTCGTACAGGCTTTACATTATTATTTCAGTGTTGTAATTAGCAATTCTTGTCATTTTATCTTTGAAGCAGGTTTGTTGTGTGACAGCATTATTTAAAGTTTCCTTAGGGTCAAGATCATGTTATCTGCATCTCCTGCGCTCCATCAAGCCACTCACATAACAGCTGTCAGCACTCAAATTAATGCACGACTCAGATGAACTGTACAGCATGTTTGTAAGACTCTAATACATTTATAAAGCAATTATTTTATCACAAATAAATCTTTCAATGTGTAAAACTGGCTGTGTCTGTAGTATTATATATTACACAACATTATGATAATATTTTCAAATTAATTTTTAAATTATTATTATTTTAAATAACACTTAATTTCCACTTCATTTCCAGCGATATCGTCGACTTGATTGCACAGACAATATTTAAACTGAACTGAGCTGGATGATGACATCACTGAATTCAATGATGAACTGCCTTTAACTGAAAAATTAGTGTTTACTATTGTCATTTTGCATTATTGACACACTATTTTCCAGGTCCATAATTAAGCTTATGGACCTGTTGCTATGACAGCAAGTCCAGGATGAGCTTCGAAGAACCAAATAATCCAAGATCATGTCAAATCGTCAACAATCAAATCCAGCTAACTGAGTAAGCGACGTACGAAGAATGGGCCCCAGGTGTACCTAGTTAATTATCCTTGTTTGTTCTGAGTACTTAAGTTCCTGTATGTTCACTTTGAGTTTGTCTGGTCTTACGTCTACATGTCTTAAATTTTGCTGTGCTACATTGTGTTTGTTGGATTTACCCTTGTTGGATTACAGACTTATGATATATAACCTTTCATCTTCGTTGTGCGCTCTTTAACACAGCGTAGCTATGACACTCACAGACTTACTGTGTAGGTACAGTCTGAGTGAGAAGCATTTAAGTTCAAACTTGTGAAGTAGGGATGTCAACGATTAATCGATGATCGATTAATTGTCGATACATTTCCCTTCCGCATCACAGTAAGAGATGCGAAAACAGTGATAAAAAGTAAGAGTAAGATTTTCCTCTAATAAACAAAGCTTTTATACCACATTTGTCATAATCAGAGCTTATAATCTGTGTGCAAAAATAAAAGTAAACACTTTTGCAGATTATATCTTAGGCCTACTCCAAAAATGGATTTTTTTATGTTTCAGCTGTTCGATCGCGCCAGCGCCTGGCGCACACACACCCCACATATTCTAGCAATTCAAACTTACATCGCAGTCTGTTCATTATCAAAATAAAATACAGTCAACCAAACATACATTTGGATTTGTGCCGAATGAGACACGAGTAATAACCTCCAAATACATCTAGCCAAACCAAATCCAAAATACATCTAGGGAATTATGGATCGCGCCACGGCGAGGCTTTACTTGCCGTGAAGCGGGGGGCAGCGCCGATGGAAGCGGTTCACTGACTGCAGCACAGCCACATGCGCCAGTTACGTTTGGGATCATTTTATTTTAAATGCCATAATGTCAGATTAAAACATTGCAATAGTGTTTTAAAATACAATAATGAGCACCACGAAACCATTTAAAGAGGCGTTCAGCCGGGATAGGAAACAGTCAACAAAGTAAAATGATCTCAAACCTACGGCGTGCTCTCTTCATTTTATCAAATAAATGATCATAATCGCATCTATTCATTTTACAATCTTGCTACTAGCATTTTATTCAGACTAAAACCCCTTTAATTCGGGTGAGAAAGCAGGGGTTTTTTTTGAGTGACTTTTGCACATCCTGTCATGCCGGTGACTGCGTGCTGCTGCAATAGACGCATTTTGCAGCATTAAAGTTAACAATTAATCGATTAATTGATCGTTAATTTAAACGACGATTGATCATGGAAATGATCGAAAATTGACATCCCTATTGTGAAGAACAGTTTTTTAAAGTATTGGAATGTGTCTTTTAATATTTATCTGTTACATTTTAATTGCTGCTTGTGCAAAACTTGGGTCGGAATGATTTTATCAAGTAGGACACAATTCTGGAACTTATTTGAACATTTATGGAGGACATTTTTAAATTTCTCTTTACAATGTTGAGTATTGTTGATGCATAACTCACTTAAGGCTTAGTGTGGCCCAGATAATGTATATTTATAGTTTATTTAGTTCATTATTAGCTAAAATGTGGCTTTGTAGTGGCCTGCTTGTGGACCACTGCCAAATTCCACGCAGTATGTGGGCCGGAGCAAGGTGTCAGATTTGGGCTGGATCTGGGCCAGAATTAAAATCAATGTGGCCTAGATTTGGGTCAGTTCTACTTTATTTCATTTATTTATTTTCATGGATGACATGCGGCCTACCTATGCCTTGCTTGTGGCCCAAATTTGGCAAACAGGAGCAGACCGCCCAAGTGCCATCATTCTTCACAGTATTTGGACCGGAGAAAGGTGTTGGATCTGGGCCAGAATTAAAATCAATGTGGGTAGGTTCTGCTTTATTTGGTTTATTCATGGCTGACATTGAGCCTTATTTTGGCTTGCTCGTGGCCCAAATTTGGCAAACAGGAGCGGACCGCCCAGGTGCTATCATTCCACGCGGTATGTGGGCCAGATGAAAGTGTCAGGTGCGGGCCTGATCTGGGCCTCAGGAATTTTGCTATCTGGGTATAGATTTTAAATACTTTATTTATTTATTTTTTTTCTTACACATTACAATGAAATGATTGCAGGTAAATCATTTTTTCTCTTCCATATAAAATGCTAGAACACATTTTTAACTCACCGGGAAGTCACCCATGTCTCCAACTCACTGAAGCTCTACACAACTGCTCAGTAATCTGCCAAACAGACACACACACAAAAAAATTTATAATACTAATAATAATTACATTCATTCAGATTTTTTTTTAATTTTTTGTATTTATTATTTCCCCACAAAAATGGAATATGAGCAATTTCCCATATTAATCAGGATGTACATGTTGTTAGTATAATATAAATGAATACATCGGTTAATTTAAACTTAAACACTGACCCAATCACAAACTAGTTCCTGGACAATTATTTTTCATCAACTGTATTGTACTTTTTTTTAAATAACTGTTTCAACACTGGAAGATTTGTCAAAGAATGTCTAAAATCATGTACGAAGATACTGGATAGGTAAAAGTGATTCAGTTACAGTAGTGTTGCAGGTCTGATTCACATTGGCTTAAAGATGCAGCTGCTCAGCAGATCAAACATCTTGGGAACACATTATTAATATCTGGGATAAAGACAGATTGTGCTGTTGACTATGATAAAAACAAGCAATATTAAAATAATAATAATAATAAAAGTTTAATACCCCAACTAATGTTCATTCATCAACTCAACATCCTTTGTTTGAATTTGATGGGGGGAAAATTGCATAGTTTGAAAGCTGAAAGCTGTGACTGTGAGTTAAAATATAGCACAAAACATTCAAAATTATTTTTTGTTTATAGTCAAGTTTCTCCACAAAGGTCTCATTCAGACAATATAAGTATATAGCATGTAACTAATCACAAGTGCATCACATATTTTGCTCAACTTGCTTATAGACCATTATAATAATTGTTAACATCAAAACGCATTGAAAAAAGCATTGAAGCTTCTTGTCTTGCCATGAACATTTTGAAACATAATAATTCAGTTATTATGGAGGACTAAACCTGCAAATTTATAAATAAATGTAATTATAGGAAACTTATTAAATTAATAAATTACTTGCTAAAACAAATACAATCAATCTTTTAATTATGTTGGCTTGACAAATCTATATAAACTTATTCCTCTGAGACTTTTTTTTTTTTTTTTTTGTGTTTACTATC